CAAACACTTGCGTTTCCCCCCATAGCATTGTCCTTGTACGCCATTTTTAACATTTCAAGAGTTTCTGTTCCACTTTTCCCGAGCAAAAAGCAGAATTTCACCGCCGCACGCTGTTCACGAAAATCAGCCATTGCAAAAACAACAATCACACAAAACAGTTGTCACTATAAACTCTGCCAAAACTAGTCCTTACCTTCTGAAGCAACGGTAGTCGGCTTATCGACTCAGGAATGTTAGCTCTATGCGCTCATAGCGGCAAAACGCGGTACTACAAAAGCTCTGCCCACAAAAAAAAATAGTTTGGTTTCTTTTGGGTACCCCACTGTACATCCATGGGACAAGAGGCTGGGCAGACCAAAGTGTTGACCTGCATAGAGTGGTGACAAGAAAAACCCTACCACTGACAGAAACTGAATCCCTGTCATTTAGCCTGCAGCGCATCACTTTGCTGACTAAGCAACTAAGGCTCAATTCTTATTCCTTAAATTGTTCAATTTATAATTTCACTATTAATCTCATTTTCCTTATTTTACGTGGAAGTTTGGGGAGGGTTTTGTACTCATATATTTTGACTACTGTAGGCCATTACGAGTATCTGTTCAGAACATTTTTAGGAATTCCATAAATTCTCATATCAAGTTTATAGTGCAAGTCATGCATGTCAGTTCCCTCCTAATAAATTTTGAACCAATTCATATATTTTAATGAACTTCATATGGAAATCCCACCATTAACAGACACCTCACCTTCATCAGTAACACCAATATGGCATCACAGTACGTAGTGGCTGTACACACAACACAAAACAGATAAAATAAAGCACAAAACACTGTCAGGATTAATTTATTAGAGTTATACCACAATCCAGTCTAGAAAACTGAGAGTAATGGCCATGGGGATCTGTTGGGCTGACCATGTGACATCTTCTATTCGCAAAAGTTAGCATTAACTTCACAGACAAGTGGCAGTTGCCCCGTCGGTATAGTTTGCTTGCGGACTACAGGCCACAGAGTATATTATACCACAATAAATTAATCCTCACACTACTTCTTTTATTTTATTTTATTGGTTTTTATTATTTAGGTAAAGGCTTTGTAGGATGGACACTGTAACTGTGATGCTATAGTACAAGAGGGTGCAGGGTATATGGACCAATATGCCAGTCATCTAACTACTGATGTGTTGGCCGCACCATAGCTCAAGCGGTTAGTGCCGGCTTTCCACCGCGGTGGCCTGGATTCGATCCCATGTCTGGTAAAGTGGGATTTGTGGTGGACAAAGTGGCACTAGGGCAGGTTTTCTCTGAGTACTTCAGTTTCCCTTGCCAATCTTCATTCCACCAATTGCTCCACAATCACCCTCACCTATCATCTGGGGCTGGTACAATAGGCCAGAAGTGACCACAGTACAAGGGACTTAGTCCCACCCCACTAGCAATAAAAAAAAACTACTGATGTGTGTGCACTATTACTGCCACTCAATTTAGATCCATACAAGTTTCTGTGCTGACATATTTTAGAGAAATAAACAACCTTTCTAATGTTCACTTTTGTTCAGAGTTTGAAATAACAACCTTATGAGAGTAACAATACTCTTCTATTTTAAAGTAACAGCTGAGGAATCACTGTGGACAGGCAATGAATTAATGTGATTATATATAGTTACCATATCTACAAATTCATTCATAATCTATCTACATATTACCTATTTTTTTCTAACCATGAAGTACCTTTTAAATGTGTCACTACATATTACACATTTACTTACATATTATATACTCCCAATTATCTATGCTAATGAAGAGAAAAGATACACGAATAATCAAGAAACATGGAGAATCCAAGTTTCAGCAGTGACTGGGAAACTATGGCCATTGCTGAATATAGAAATTCAGAAATGTATACACAGCACCCAAATTAAATTATATCAAAAACCATAAATCATACAGAAAATGTTTCTCTACAACTTTCAGTTGAAACACTTTTCATTCCAATAAATATTCAATGATATAGATTCAAGACACACACAAAAACACATACTGGTCTTCATGCAAACTTGCTGTTAATACTGTCTGATCAAATGTAAAACTGAAATGGTTCAACAATTCTTCATAATTTTCATGAAAATCCATCTGACCATTCTTGAGTTGTTTCGTGCCTACAGACAGTAGGAAGCACTGGTCAAATTGAACTTGCCCCCTAACAGGTTATAAGGGTTCCTAAAAAGGCACATGTATAAGCCCAAATCTGGTTAATCTGTGTACAGGTAATCAAGGTTAGAGTATACGTAGATCATGTCCACTTTAGTGGATCCGCATACATAAGGTTACATTATACACTGCACATACTAATCTAGGCCACTTACTTGACATACTCTTTCTTGTTTTCCTCTGTAACCACTATCTCCCGACCACCAGGCTTCAGTTCATGTACCCTCAATACACCAAAACTGTTGTGTTCTACAGAGAATGTTGTGTCAATGACGCCTGTAATGTTGTTCTCCCTATACAACCAGTGCAAATATTATAATGAAACAATCAAACATTAACAACAAAAATAAAAACTGCATCATTTTAGTGACAATATGATATGGATTGAACAATGACAAAGTACAGTCAAAATCCTCATTTAATATTCCTCAATTTAAGGTTTTATTTCTTTCAGAATTAAATTTTAATGATCTAAATCAATAATTGTCGGTCACGGTAGCCGAGCGGTCTAAGGCATGTACTGTCTTCGCTGGCTCGGAAACTGGGATCGTGGGTTCAAATCCCACTCAGGGCATGGATGTTTAGTTTGTGTGTGTGCGTTTTTCTGTGTTTGTGTACAGGTAGAGGCCTCGCGACGAGCTGATCACCTGCCCAAGGAGTCGTACCAAATGTGTAAGATCAAGAAAAAAACCGAAATGAATGGAGAAATTCATGGAGGTAGGCCTAGGCCCACTGGGGCTGTAATGTCAAGGAAAAAAATCAATAATTTCACTTTTAAATTACCTCCATTTAAGATCTTCCTCAATTTAGTGTTAAAATCTAGCGATTCTCAAATAACTGTTAAATGGGAGTTTCACTGTATGTGCTTAACCTTTAACGGCCGAATGTCACGTATACACGTCGCAAGCAGTAACAGGAGTTGGCCAAATGACCTGTGTACACGTCGCAGGACACATGCTCTCTTTGGGAGTGCTGGCAGTTTGACCTTGGGTTGGAAACTAAAACAAACCTACGTGAGGTCATGTCAGTGCTACATTCCTTAGCTCTGAACAAAGAAATTATTTATCACTGTATTGGTTTCGATACTATTTACGTTTAGATATGACTGTTTATGACCTGCTCAGCCAAATATAGCCCAGCTTTGTTTCGAGAACTGATGAGGAAATATTTATCAGTGCTTGCATAAGAGCGCCTGCAAAGCCTTCAAGGAAGTCTGACGCATTCAAGGATTGGTTTTCAGTGGTGTATTATCAGTCAGGAAGTCAGTGTCGGATTGTCATATATTTCTTTATATATCATTTTTATTTTGCGTCTTGGAAGAGGTATAAACCCACTGAGCCAGTATTACTTTAAAGGCATCTTCGCTACTGCGACTTTCAGTATTTGTCGGACTGGCACTCTTTTCGACTAGTATTATACTTACTTTGCATCACTATTTTGCGAAGATTACCAACGGGTGAGTGTCGCTTCGTCAATCAACATAATTTATTCGATTTTGCTAGAAACCCCCCTCCCCCAAGATGATTCTTCAATCGCACAACCCGAATATCACGGTCAGTGGCGTTTCTCGGGGGAGGGCCAAATTTATCAGGGGGCCCAACTGAGTCGACTGGAGGTGAAACATTCACAACACTGGCCAACCAAAGGGAAACTAAGACATATTTGTTCTCAGAATAAGAAGCGCAGAAGCACGTAAAGTGTCACGTTGCGCTGTGTGGGTTCAGCTGCTTCGAGAATGTTGAACTGCTTCGACAAGTAGTACACGCGCATCGAGTGTGAGTTATCGTAAACTGTGAAGTGACGCAGTTCAAACTCGCGTACAGTCTGAACAAAATATTATTGTACGAGTATATAGTGTGTTTATATTTACAATATCACCATGATTCAAGGCTGAAGAATAAACAATGGGTAAGTCCTTTGGAATTTCATGACATATATAATAAAGATTATATTTTGCAATTCATGACTAAATAATCACAGTTAATTTTCAATTGTAAAAATTGCTCTTCTGTGTACATGTAGAAAAATTTATTGTCTTTCAGGTTGTTTTTAGTTTTTATTTCTATGTTGCATAGAACGAAAAATATGGATTTTTTTCCGACGGTTTGCAAATTTAATTAATCAGGGTGATTTAAATACCGGCCGCAGGGGGCTCCCGCAATTTAAAAGTCCGTACGTTAAAGATTAAGTACAATGTAGCAGACAGGTTGTCTGAAGTTCAATATATAAGCAATTAACTGAAGTAACTGTGATTTCAAAGCAACTTGAATGCAGCAAAATATATTTTACAAAGGCCTACCTCAAAACATGACCATAAAATTGGATTTATGGAAGCCAGAAGTTTCCCAGTATGCCACAAAAACTGTATTATTTCAACATAATTTTAATTACAAAAGTTTCAAGATTCTTCCTGTCTGATGGTATGCGTTATTCCAGTAGGAAGAACTGTACTTGCAAAACAAATTACATAAATCTTAATATTGTGACATGGTGCCTGACAGCCGGAATAGTTCACTGCTAGGCAACAGCTCAGTAAACACATTCCCGCAGAAGCTAATGTGCGTAACGATAGAAGTGCAGTGTTTTCTGTAGTCAGCACCATGCTCATTGCTACCCAACAGTGCAGTAAACACATCTCTGCAGCAGTGAACCAACATGCAACAATAGAGGAAGAGGGGTTTTCGGCGGGGACCACCCCAAGGCTATATAACGAGGATCTTACACAGCTAGAATTATAATTCAGTTGGCAGCTGCAACAGGGAACTGAGAGTCTCCTGAGTTGACAGTTGTCAGAACTAAGAAGAGATGGAAAGAAAGGAATTAGGCTCAGCATGTGTGATTTGAAGCGACAGTGAGACTGTTATGATTCTGTTTCCAGGATATAACTAGTGCAGAGTGTGACAGACTGAGGACACTAGTGTGTGTAACAGTGACCTGTAAAGTGTGGGAACTGCAATAAAGCTGTAATTGCCTGTAGTTCTGAGTGGAGTGTATAAGGCGTCAATAAATCCAATCATTCAATCCAAAATCCATCTATAAGTCACACACAATATAAAATATTTTACAGGTACTACCTCATATAATTCATGGCTACTAATAAAAGGAGGAACAGACATCATTCTTTAACACTTAATATCCACTACTAATTTCATAGGAAGAGTTTTAATATAAAGACTCCATTCACATCACTGAAACACTTACAGCATCCATGTTAGGCTACGGTGCAGCTCAGGATCAACACCTTCGATGTCATCCAGAGTGATAGGTTTGTTGAGCAGCATTTTGTAGAAGGGAGTGGTGAAGCCCCCATCTATATAATGACCATGGAACACTGCGATGCCAATGATACGCCCCACAAAGTGAAAGTAAGACAGATGCTCCTATAACAGGAAACATAAATCTGAATTTGTATTTAATTGTTATGATGATTTATCATTTAAAAAATATAAATTTGGTATGTTCTTGTTTTTCTATGGACGTAAAACTTGGTCTCTGATATTAAGGGCGGAACACACGCTGAGGGTATTTGAGAACAGGGTGCTGAGGAGAATGTTTGGGCCAAAGAGGGATAAGGGGACAGAAGGGCACAGAAAACTGCATAATAAGAAGCTTCATAACTTGTACAATATAATTACAATTATAATTAATATAATTACAATAATCAAGTCAAAGAGGGTGAGATAGGCAGGGCATGTAGGATGAATGGGGAACAAGACGAATGCATATAGGATTTTGGTTGGAAAGCCGGAAGGAGAGAAACCACCAGGAAGACCTAGATGTGGGTGGGAGGATAATAATAAAATGGATCTTATATAGAGATAGGCTGGGGTGTTATGGACTGGACTGATCCAGCTCAGGATATGGACCAGTGGAGGGCTCTTAGGAACATGGTAATGAACCTTCTGGCTGGTTGGGAAATTCTTGAGTAGCTGAGCGACTAGACGCTTATCAAGGACGACTCAGCTCCATGGTGTTTGTTCGTTAATTACGTATGTTCTTACTGTTTGTTTCTTAGTTTATTCAACAATGCTATATCACCTGCAGAAACTATATACTGTAAAAGTATTATGTAATGTGTATTTACTAAAAGAACAGAAAATATACTTCAAGTCATTCGTTCGATAACTCACCTCATTCCTTGGACTTCCCTAACAGCATATTCTTAAACAAAAAGAGCCGATTCTAATGAAAGCTTGCTTAAGACAAATATGAATTAAAAATGCAAACAGGTAGGTCACACACATATTTTAATTCATCAAAAAGTCCTTTTTATGTATTCCAAGTACAAATGAAAATCCCATACAGCATGGTTCTCGCAATAAGCTAGTTATTAAGTTATTTTAAGTTATATTAAGATGATGCACTACACTATAGTACTCTAAACACTTCTTTCCTGATATCTGCCAAATGGCATTATCAATAAGCACTGCTGCTGAAAATGCATAATGGCAAGCCAAAGAAAGTCAACTCACAGGGTTGATGCTACTGTCTGGGTTGATTTGAAGGGTATAATTGTCCTCACGGGAGTATTGAAACAGGCCATATTGTGGGTTCAGCATTTCATGACTCAGTAAAAACAACCACTCTCTTGCCACACCTCCATAGTCGAGCCCTTCTTCTCCACGGAATTTTACCATCAGTCGCTTCCGCATATCCTTTGGCCGCATCTTCATTACTAATCGGTAGGATTCCTGTCAATCAGAAGGCTATTTAATAGATACCTCATTCCTTCCAGAAGTGGTTGCAGTAAAAGGGACTTAATCCCACCCCACTAGCAATAAAAAAAACCCTCATTCCTTGTGGTACTTCTGAGATAACAGTTTAACCAGCAGTTAGCTTGCTTGCTGCCTATTAAATACCAAACCACATATTACATGTGTAATGTAATTACTTACCAGTCCCCTGGGAAAATGACTGAACTAATGAGAGTTCAACTGATATCAGTTCTCAGTCACAGGAGAACTGAGTCAAAATAAATCTGTCAATATTTTTTTATTGATAGTGGGGTGGGACTAAGTCCCTTGTACTGTGGCCACTTCTGGCCTACTGTACCAGCCCCAGATGATAGGTGAGGGTGATTGTGGAGCAATTGGTGGAATGAAGATTGACAGGGGAAACCGAAGTACTCGGAGAAAACCTGCCCCAGTGCCACTTTGTCTACCACAAATCCCACTTGACCAGACCCGGGTTCAAACCAAGGTCTGGTCAAGTGGGAAGCCAGCGACTAACCACTTGAGCTATGGTGCGGCCTAAATCTGTCAAGAAGATGGCAAGAATAGGATTGAATGCCCATTAATGGAGCCTAAAATGGCACGTGTTATCTTAGCAGTAGTTGTCAAAGAGGCCACTAGGAAGTGGATAAATAAAGCCCATAAAAACATTGGGAGTTCGTAACAGAAAACAAACATGCAAAAGGTTTCCTTCAAGGATCTTCTACAAAAAGGACTTTGAAACTATTAGAATTGAACATGAACCAGATGAGATGGATGACAGGAATACTTACAGAATGCAGTCACCTGAAAGGACACACTTCAAAGTTAGAATTAATAAATAAACCCACACATGAAAGGTGTCTGGACAAAGGTAAAATAGCTCCACATGTCCTATGTGACTATACAGCTATAGCTAACTTTAAGATTTTGACACTTGGGGACTTCATTTTATGATAGCATAAGATTATTTAAAAGTCCCATTAAGCAAACTACTACATTTCATCTGAAATGTGGGACTGTCAGCAGTCTATCCATGAAGATGGACTTGCAACAGACTGGAAATGATCACCATGAAAGGGTGAGTATAACCCACTCTTTATCAGTGCACCCATCAAATAAAATTACCTATAAAGGGGTTATCATCTCTGTCCAGTGTGACTGATAAATGTTTTTCTTCCCTCTCCTTTTTAACCTTTCATCCTTGACATGTTTCACTCTGAGAGACCATCTTCAGAAGGATAGGTCAATACAGGCAGAAACTACTATTACAATGTGATTGGTCAATATCAATACATACATACATCATCATCACAATGTCATGAATATAAAATCTGACACTTTAACAACTACAGTGATGTGCATGAATATAATTACCAAGAGTCATACAGAAGTTATGCAAACTTCTAAGCTACATTTGGTTATAACAGTCCTTTTGCAACTGTTTATCCTTAAACAATACTTACATACAAGACTGTACACACAAAAGAAAAATATAATCAGCATTAAAAAAGATATAAATTGAAGTAGATGATTCTATGCAACCTATAAAAAATGATACAAAAAATTAAATTTTATAAATTTTTCTGTGACTTTTAAGTTGAACTGGTAAAAACGCTGTTTTTGCTGTTTGTGATGCAGTCACCAAATAGTGAGTGACGTATGGAGGCTGCATTCTCATGCCACTTTCACATCTGGTATATCCAACATATCTTTTAACTATATAATTGAAAACTAAATTTCATATTCTGTATTATGAAAAACTGGGGAACCTTTGTGGATTGCACACTTTGACGCATTTTTGTAACAAGAGTGAGGGCACTAAATCTTCTGAACCTATCAGCTATGTCAAAAATAAGCCAGGTTTTTAGCTCAACAATGACACAGCTCACAGTCTGAGAAGATTTAAATACATTAGTAAATCTTACAAGAATGAGGGCCTCTGAAACTAAGTAGCCTAACCTCCCTGTCAGTTTAAACATAAAGAAGCATCAACCAGACTCAAAATCTTACTATCCTCCAGCAAAGAAGCTACAAGTATTAACAAAGGTCACCTGCATGCAGTGTGCAAGCTGAAAACATTAACACGCATGATTTCTGGACAACTCTTAACACTGTCACTTTTACACTAGGCCCCAATGTGGCACTACATGAACAACAGCGGTCAAGGTCAATCAGTTCTTCTCATCACTCACCCTGCCTTCTCTTCACTGGAGGACAGTACTTTGACACAGTGTTTGGCCTTAATAATACTGAATACAAGTTTGTTATCTCACATTCAAGTAGATACAGTATTTGTTTCAAACCACAGTTTGTGTTTAACACCTGTCCTCATAAATGTATAGGTTGAATCACTCCACAGTGAAACTCTCTGTGTAAGACAGACTATCTGATGAATTTAGCAAAATAGTGTACAAAACAAAATCACTACTGTGAAGAATATTTTATGTAGGCTCACCTCAAATATCTCTGTGCGGGACACTTCCAGGCGGCAGTGGCCACTCTGAAGTTGCAAAGCTTGCAGCTCTGCTCTCAAAGCCTTCTGCTTAGCCACCAGGTCACGTTTGTACTTGGGGAGACTTTCACTGTCTAACAGATCTTTAGGAAGATCGCCCATTCTCACAACAGGAGCAAGCTCAACAGTAGTGTTTCCACTGCAGCCTTCTGCCACCGTGCATCCATTAGACTGGTCCATGACACTATTGTTATTGGTGGGGGAAGGTACAGTAGAAGTGGAACTTGAACTAAGGCTAGAGCTAGATGGATTGTTGTTGCATGGAGAACTTAAACCAGAACTACAGTTCTCACTCCCTACAGGGTCTACACGGACATTGCCATTGTTCAGTGGTGATGGTGACATAGTGGCACTACTTGTTGCTACAGCTACTTGGCTTGCTAGAGAGGAAGACGGAGGTATGTTCTGCTTCCTAAAACAAATATAGGTACACACTGTTAGGGACATGCAAACACATGTTTTGCAAGTCAAGTCACTTGACTCACGTTTCTTAATAAACAGCTAAATTTTAACTTCCCGCCCCCCATAAAAGGAACACATATTTCAAGCTTAATTTTCTTTTAAGAACAAAATCAAATGTGTCACACTCTGTTCTACATTTCATACAAAGTACACAATTTAATGATTCAAATGTAAACTAAAAATAAGATATCACTTTAAATGAACAAATAACTTTATGACTATGTCAGATAATAGAGTTCTCTATTATTTGGCTTCAATATCATTTTCCACAAAACCTGTACTCCTTTTATAATAGTAAAAATGCTATAAACAAAAATCTAACAATGACTATCCAAGCACTTTCAAACAAAGAGGTCAACAACAACTACTGCAAGGTACACTCTATGCCAGTAGGAGCTTAATTCTTGGGTTTATAATACAATGTGGTTAAATTGGCTGAAACATTATTCACAACACCAAGGCTCTATATTAAGCTGTGCAAGTGTTGTTCCACCTTAGAAGTCCATGCATCCACCATGTTTTTAATGCCAAATGTTGTAAGAACTTAAGAGTCATGGGGTTTAGTTGGCCTCTAGTGGCATATTTTCCATACAGTAGTCCACAAAAATCAATCCTCTGGTTCAGAAGTTGATGGCAAAGAATAAGACACACACACAACATGGTGACTTCATAAGCACTCTTCCTTTCCCTAAGGAAAGTAGGCTTAAGAAAGTTAATGAGTTATGTTCAGACGCTGGAAAACACCTCTGTGGTCTAGTGGTCAAGAGTTCCTGGCTATAGATCCAGAGCTCTTGGTTCAATTCCCGGCGCTACCAGATTTTTTCTGAGAAGTAGTGGGTCTGCAACGGGGTCCACTCAGCCTCGTCATGATAATTGAGGAGCTATTTCAAGGAAATAGCGGCTCTGGTCTAAAAAACCGAAATTAACGGCCATGGGGATTCGCTGTGCTGACCACGCAACACCCTCTATCCGAAAAACTTCGCACTAACTTCGCAAAGCAGGGGTCACTCGGTTGGTATAGTTTGCTTGAGGACTAAAATCACAGTGTGTGTGTTTTTTTTTGTTTCCGACGCTGGTAATCTGCAGCATGCACATGTGGGGGAGAGTGGGAGGTATGCATGCATTGTTGGAGAGCATAACAATAGTGTAACCTACAAGAACAGACATCAATAAAGTCTTCAAACAAACACATCTACAAATTGAAATGCTTGAATGTCGGACTTAATTTATTTACCGGCATAGATTAATAATTTATTATACTGCCATTTCCCATTAACTGATCTTAACTTGTTCCATGAAATGTCATCAATTAGAAATTCAATGGTTAACAAGCTCAATTTTAATATTTGTTCCGCTTTTCATTGTAGTGCCCATAATTTCACTAATTTCATTCAAGACATTGCAAAATATAACAAAAAAGACTGAACACTGATATGATCGCACTACCACACTACCAGAATGGCTGGCCAACATGACTGAGCTTGTAAACACCACCAATGTGCATATGCATTCGCAATCGTTGATTGACTGGGGAACGACAATCATTCGGGTACTCGGACATATTGTGAGTGTGTCTATGGATTGATTATCAATTAGCAGGGTGTCAATTAGTGGGAACTGACTGTAATACAGGCATATCAATAAAGTTAACTCACTTCATGAGGCTGGATATGACAGAACCAGAGAGTCTAGGATCCGTGAACTGTGTTGTGCGATTGTTGTGGTCCACATAATAGATCCGTCCAGTAGCAGTCTGACGCATTTCCCAACCAGGAGGTAATGGTCCAAGCTCAGCCAGTAGGTCACTAGAGCCCACTGAAAGCTCACGAGGAATGCGGGGATCATGCCATGTGCTCACTCCACTGGGGATGTGGTAGAAATAAACTTGCCCCTGTTGTGTTGTGCGTAATTCTGTTCAACAATAGGATACATAATTCTGCTAAACTTTTTGAGTTGAATGTTCAAGAAGGTGTTAATACATACGCAGATAGTGTATTGATCTGGCGGAAAGATGTAAAGGTAAATAAGAAACTCAATCAATGGAACCACATTATAAAGGAATACAGACTCAAAAATAATACAGACAAGTGTGTGACTATGAGGATTCCTAAGAAACCACATACGAAGGGGGACCCAAAAATAACCGGAAATGACCTGTTGCGCGCGCATGCTTTGTAGTTACGAGTTGTGCTGCTAGGTGGCGTTAGCTGGGGGTCTCCCGCGACTGTTAGTGAGCTGGCGTCAGTCTGAGTTAAGTGGTTTGTCTGTGGTGCTCTGTTGTGTGCGTTCCTGTTTCAACCCTTTGGCGATTAGTGAGATGGCCGACCAGAAGGAACAAAGAGTGTGCGTGAAATTTTGCTTTCTGTTAGGGAAAACTGCACTTCACTCTTCAAGTCGCGGCAAACATTCACGCGGTTTTCTCTTTGGTCATCTCCGAGCAAGCGAGGAACAAATTTTGCAGACACCCGTCTCATGTGCAAACCTTCGGTTAAAATTCGCTGGACCGTGCTCCATGAGATGTTCATTTCCTCAGAAAGTTGGTCAATGGTCTTTCGACGATCTTCATCAATTTCACGCACACTCTTTGTTCCTTCTGGTCGGCCATCTCACTAATCGCCAAAGGGTTGAAACAGGAACGCACACAACAGAGCACCACAGACAAACCACTTAACTCAGACTGACGCCAGCTCACTAACAGTCGCGGGAGACCCCCAGCTAACACCACCTAGCAGCACAACTCGTAACTACAAAGCATGCGCGCGCAACAGGTCGTTTCCAGTTATTTTTGGGTCCCCCCTCGTACAAGCTTCAGAATAAAAGTTAATGGCATGATAGTCAATCAGGTGAACAAACTTATTATTTGGAAAAAGAAACAAATTCAGAAGCAAAAATGAATGGAGAGATCAACAGAAAATACAAAATATCTCTATATTCTATGAAATATATTACAGATATGGATATTATGGATGCGAGACATTCCAAAACAACACAAAACAATTTACATTTCATTGCCTTAGTTGTCAATGGTCATATCTCCAATTTTCATTATTTTTCAGGTAACAAATTCACTTAGTTCCTTTGGGAATAAGAGCTGTATGTCCATAATTAAACTGAGTAAAATCATATGAGAAATCAGACAAAAAATATCCCTTTTGTTCTCTCTCCTATTTCAACTGTTCATAATTCAAACACTGTACTCTTGTGGTCACTATTCCACAGAACGTGAAGACAACCTTTAACAAATGACGTGGAAATTATAAATCGATTATAGAATTTAATGCCAAACATGAAGACTTATGAAGAGAAAGAAAATCAGAAGCCATGATATGGACATGTAATTTCTGAGAAGTACTGAAGGTTCAAGTCCCGATGAGGTCATTGGATTTTTTCAATTGACCTAATCCTTCCGGCCGCACTAGGCCCTGGGGTTTACTCAGCCTCTAACAGAAATGAGTACCAGGAATTAATTAAATAATTTTCCTGGGGAGTGAAGTGCGGCCGGCATGTAAGGCTGACAACCTTACCACCATCTTTCAGCCGATTGTCAAGGTAATGTGGGACCCTCAACGTCTCACAACCCTATGGGCCCTCACGGCCTGTTACAGGGATACCTTTACTTTTAACTGAAGGAGAACCAAGATAGGATAGAACAGTAAATTAAATTTGCAGAGAAGAAACTAAAATCCACAATTTGTTACTACAGATGAAGAAAAATGATTACAATGGTCTGACAATATTAAAAGAAAGGAAAGAGCAACTACTCTTTATAATTAAATTTTGAAGGAAAGAGAACTGAAAATAAGATATTTCAGCCAGGTCCTAACTGATATCAAGGCAATATGATAAAGCTGGGAAGAAACCAGAAGACTGTGGGTTTCATTCTGAGCAGTGTCCTATGTATACAATAATAATAAAAGAAAACAGTATAACTGTCTGTATAATGACAATTATAACAAACACAGACGCAAAGCCAACTCCTTACACAATATATATTGTAACGTGTACCATTACTGAAGACGCCGTTCGGATTGTTAACTGGTTTATTCAACAACCTACAAGTAACGGCTACAATTACTTATCACACAGTTGCGGGGTTTCACACTTTATAACCCTAATCGCAATAATCTGTTAACACTGTTGCGGGGTTTCACGATTTATAACCCTATTTGCAAATCAGTTCACTCTATCTTCAGTAGGCTACCCGTATTCACAGTACGGGAGCTATACAAGTCTCTCTGTCTCACACACTCCCAATTACACAGTTACACACACGTCTGGTTCTTCTTTCCGCGATGGCTGCTATATTCCAACACAACTCGCAGGCTGCTGCCTTGAGAACTCTTGATAACACACTGGCTCGACTACTACTGAACTCGGCGATGGCCACATTTCAACTACTCTCTTCGCAGGCAGCGCAGCTATCTTATATAGGGGCTGTGTGGGCCTGTTACGTAGCAACGCTGTTACCTCACGCTGTCTTACGTCACTGCGTGTTGCACGTTATGTTACCGTGCGGAGGGGGGGGAGGGGCGCGCTGACTCATCCGCCACGTCACTGTGGCCGGAGTTGCCACGTTGCTGTTGGGTAGGGAGGGGTTCTCCGTTGCACAACATGTCACAATATTAAGCATACTCCAGGCAATGGATAATGACCAACTTAATGGTGGTACTACCTAAAAGTGACGATATGAATACCACGCATCAGAAGAGGTTATTCAAAGTATTCTACTATACCACTGTCACATATAAGGGGTCACATGACTAATAATTATGGGTTCTAGATTTGATCATTGGATTTATTGGGCATCTTTATTACAGTTAATTATAACAGTTCACACAATGAACTCCGTCCTGATAAGGGATCTCTTGCTGTATTTCTTCTGGTTCTCAGACTGGTCTCTAGTCTTCCACTTCTCAGTACAACTGACGCGTGCAAATCAATTGCATGTCCTTTCATTACCTGGTGCAGACCGCAGACAGAACACCAGTTATTCTGTGTATTCGTTACCATAGTAATGCATGTTCCCCAAACCTATTGTGCAATAATAATCTATTCTGTGTTGCCATGGGAATGTGCTAGTGAAGCCTGGCCCAGAAGAAACTGTGGCTTTCAGGCATCATGTCACACTATGTTATATATTAAACTGCACTTCTACTGTCCAATGTTTGTTCCAATTCCTTTTCAATGGCCAAGGATACATACTGGCCCATTTTATGACACAAGGCCAGAATATACATCTAATTTCTGGCCAATGTATATGGTTGTTGTTATTATTATTATTGGAGGGGTGGGTTTCCCCATGCACCGTGACCAGTGGTCTATTGTACGTCCCCTCTGTGATATTATACCAGTCTCTATACCCTACCGATACTGGTGCGTGTCATCAGTCCCGACTCAGCCAGCGAGTTCGGCCTCTACTGGCTCAGCGGTATCTCTCGATGCTTCCCCATCTATCAGAGGCGTTAGAGACTACTGTTGGGCAGGAAATGTCTGATCAATTTGGCTCAGTGGTCCCCTTGGGACATGAGGTTCTTTTACGTGCTGTAAAGCTACGACACGGGACCCACAGCTTAAAGGCCCTCCCAGAGGACTTGTTCCCTGAATTTTTCTGCTCTTAAAAATTCCACGACCTCCGCCGGGTTTGAACCCGCGTACCTTGAGTCATGAGGTGGGAACGTTACCCCTAGACTACGGAGGCCGCTTAATGTATACGGTTAATACCCTGCTTGACACAAATATGTATGCAGTGGAGAATTATATCCAGTTCATGTCTCACCATAACCAGGAGGCAGGTCACCGGGCTGGCTAGGCTGATGGACACGACCAGTGGAGCTGCTTCCGTTCTGCTGCTGGTGCTGTGAATTTCGCTGCTGTCTTGATGCACGTCGTCTTGATGCAGACATCTGACTTCCTGCACTGTCTCGGCGATTACTACCATTCTGAAGTTCATCTGGAATCCGCATATTGCGCCTCTGTTCACGTTGCTCTCTGTTGTAAATAGAGAATGTGATTATTTAAAAATGAACAGGCCCACTTTATTATAGTCATTTATATTTGGTGAAAAGATAAAACTATACACGCACCTAAAAACCACCATAAAATATCACAAGTATGAAAGAAGGAAGCCAGTCACTGTCACTGTAATACTATGCAATAAATGGGGGAAGTGGTGAGGTACAAGATCTCATCATCTTCGCACCTGGTATCTGTAGTTTCGACCGCCTCCATTGCCTAGTGCTCAGCGTTCGTGGCTACAGATCCAGAGGTCTGGGTTCGATTCGCAGAGCTACCAGATTTTCTGAGAAGTAGTGGGTCTGGAACAGGGTCCACTCAGCTTTGTGAGGATAACTGAGGAGCTGTTTCAAGGATATAGCGGTTCTGGTCTAGGAAATCAAAATTAACGGACATGGGGACCACTGTCCGTACTGAGTATGTAATGATAACCACTGATCAATATGTTAATGAACATTTGGGTTGCATAAAGATAGGATATTACTTGCCTAGCTGAGTGACTATTATCTTCTCAAGGACTCTGTTACATGCGATCAGTTACAGTATGTGTAGTTACTGACTGAATAATAACAGTTTATCCATGGCACTCTATACCAAATATAAAAGTTATACGTAAAAAGAACCATGTAACCAAGAAATTTTAGTTTTGTTATGTTTTGATCTTATATTTTTAGACAGCAGACCAGAACACAAATGATTCTGAACAGCCTGGTAGTGAACATTCTCTGAATTTATACTGATATTAATTTACAAATACAAATCACTCCGTCCAATGTGACATATAAGTTTTACTACGTGAAAACCTATCAACCCTTATATGTTTCGGTCCTTATGGACCATCTTCAGAGGGAACATCATTACAAGCTGGAAACTACTATCACAACAGGTGTTTTGATTTAATTACATACACAGGTCCTGTAATGCACAGTACGCATAAATTCGAACATTTCACAATTGCAGCTGCTTCCTGGTATCGTAAAGTTTTTTAAAAAAGTTTTCTAGATGTTGTTTAAAAACTTATTGTCAATAGTTAAAATTTTATAAAACATGTAGGTTCGTGTCCGTACTCCTATTATCCTTCTTGTATGGGGCAGATTTTGTGCCGCTGTCTATCTTGATAAGGAAGCTCTTAATGTTGTCCAGGGTTTGTTCGTGGCTAGCTGTGTTGTTACCACTGTTAGTTAGTTGTTCGTGTGATGGACCAGAATGAAATAAATAAAAAAAATGCTATAAATTTAATTGTAGATGGAATTTTGATCAGTTAATGGTCATTTTTGAATACCTGGACTTTGCCACATTTTCAAATTTATCATCTATTTTTATATTATGATTCTGCGGAGCCTTTTCGTTATAATACATCAAACTGTACTTGGTTTTCTTCACCCTTGCTACTATCAAAGTTTAAATAAAAAAAAAAGTGACAATATTCAAACAATGTTCTGTAACAATGAAGCAAGAGCAATCTGTGAGAAAATGCTGACCAATAAACTGACTGATTTGAATAATTACCATCAAATTAAATGTGTGGGATTATGACAGATGGCATCTGGATGGGATTTCTGATGAAATTCCAAGGTACCAGGTATTTACTCATCATCAGTTAGAACAGTTTTGCCTCTGGTCAACATTTTAATAAGAATATGTGGGAACACCGCCAGTTTCCTGTCTTTAATGACTGTTGCATAACTTCAAGTTCCATACTTAACATTTAGACACGTACATCAAAACTCTTACCTTGCACTGCTACTGCTATTATTGTTGTTATTATTGTTGTTACTGCTACGCAATGCATCCCTTGTGGTTTGGTTGATCACTACGCTCACATCTGGAGAAACACAGATATTCTGCTCACCAGTGCTGGATAATCCTGAACCTGAGGGTGAGTTGTGCGTTGGGATAATTCCATTGTAATGTGGCCTGAAATGAAAACATCACTGATTAAAAATGTTATCTGAAAAAAGACAAGTAATATAAAAATAAGCCAGGAAACAATCACATAACAGCATTCTAATGCTACTCTTCGTCAAAATTAAAAAACACAAGAAAAAAAGTTTAAATACATATCTACTATAAAATCAACAAAACAGATATAGTCACCAAAATGGTGAAGTGTACAATTCTTCACAGATATACAATACTTAATCAGCTGCTCAAAAAAATCTTTTATCACCACAGAATCAGGCCCTGGATATGTCTCAAGGCAATTAAACAAAGATCTCATCCTCAACATCAATTTAATATGCTTAATACTGTGACATGCAAGCCAGAAGAGACAGCCATTTCTAGGCAACTGCAACCAAAACACATTTTCACAACAAAAATGTAGGAATTGTTGGAGACTCAAAATGTAAGAACAGAGGATCTGTGGGAAACGGTTTCCTATGTGGTCTGTCCCAAGGCTATATAACAAGCACAAACGGATAAGGCAGAGTTGACAGTCATGTCTAGGAGGTCATGAGTTAGCTCTGAGCCAGTCATCACCCAACAAGGATGTGGGTACAGAAGTAGAAAAATACTCACTGCAGGGAGCCATTACCTAGCAATGCCTGGTGAAGACAGAGAAGCCTTAAGGCTTGGAGTAGTAATTTGCAGAATGTATAGATCCATGAAACTGTTATAGTTACCTGCAGTTACAGGTTACAAGTGCTCAACAAATCCAATTACCAATTCACACCCTATATCTAGTCACTAACATGTGGCAGTATTATATCCAATACTGTCATCAATGCATAATATTTTTGTCATGTTTCTACTTTCACATCCTTTCTAATGTTTTGATACTCCGTGTTCATTGTGCAGACTTATCAAATGTCCAAACGTTCACAGAGATCCTCAGTACATGGTCTTGGCACACATTTTGGGAGCAGCCAGCAAACTGAAGGTCATTCATTCAGTAACCACCCGATCAGTGAGCCCGTCAGTGTTACAGAAGCTTCACTGTATAGTGCTCTGTTTTGTGTCCTTGTCGCTTGTGTGAGATACAATTTAGAAAAAAGTTCATTTATGATTGCTACGTGAAAAAAAAAAAAACTCATACAAATCGTGCAGGAGAAAATTTTGCCGTAAATTTCATGAAACAACATGTCCATCTTGAGATACTATTTCCTTATTAGTGACGAAAGTTTGAACCAAGATACTATTTCCTTATTAGTGAAGAAAGTTTGAACCAACAGTATTTTAATTGACACGAAGCCATTAAAAAGAAAGAGTGTTCTGATTGAGGAAAAACTTGAACTTAACAATACATATAGATACATTTTTTGCTGATTTTGCACCTGCAGAAGGAAGATTCGGTTATTTTACACAAAATGGCACAACTCCACACAACTAACGAAACCATCACAGCATTACGCAGCGTGTGTACAAAACTAATCGGAGGAGGACAGAATTATTAGAAAGGGTTTGTGGCCCCCTAGATCCCCAGATCTAAACACCTGTGATTTTTATTTGTGGGGAAAACTCAAAAGCATTGTGTATGCCGACAATCCACATGACCTGGAGGCTCTAAAACAGAATATCTGTGAAGCAATTTACAACATTCAGCAACGTGAATTGCAACAAGTTTCCTGAAATCTGTTTAAAAGAATTCAGACATGTCTCACAGCAGAGGGCAGACATTCTGGGCATCTTCTATGATGGTGAGTACAATATTAATTACTATGTGGGGCAATCCAAAAGTTTCCGAAATTTGAATTTTGCGCGAATGGTTATGAGCACATCGAAATACCGCTAGGTGTCTCCTCACACATCCTTCTTGAATCAGTGTGGCATGCGGCGTCGAGTTGAGTGGTTGGGTTTTTTGTTGGTGAACATATTTCCATTGTTGTGTTTCTGTGAGTCTGCGGTTTTGCGATGGCTGACCTGAGAGAGTACCGGGTCTGTATAAAGTTTTGTTTCAAACTTGGGAAAACTGCTGCAGAAACGCACCAAATGTTGAAGCAAGCTTTTGGTGAAAACAGTTTAGGCCAAACACAAACTTACAACTGGTATAAGCGTTTTAAAAATAGCCGAACATTGACTGATGATGACAATCGTTCGAGACGGCCGTCAACGGGAAAAACACCAGAAAATGTCGCGAAAGTCAGGGATCTGATTCTGCAAGATCATAGACTGACCATCCAAGACCTCTGTAACACCTTGGGCCTAAGTTATGGTACATGTCAATGAATTTTGTCAGAGGAACCGAACATGAGGAGGATTGCGGCGAAGTTTGTGCCACGACTGCTGCAAAATGAACAGAAGCAGCATCGCTTGGAAGTCTGCAGGGAACTTTAGCAACAGCTTCAAGAGGATCCAAACTTTCTTTTGAAGGTTGTCACCGGTGACGAAAGTTGGGTTTATGGCTACGACCCTGAGCGCAAGCAGCAATCGTCGCAATGGAAGAGCCCTTCTTCACCTCGGCCAAAAAAAGCTCAACAAGTCAAGAGCAACATTAAGTCCATGTTGATCTGTTTTTTTGACATTGATGGGATTGTTCACAAGGAGTTCGTCCCTCCTGGTCAGACAGTCAATAAAGAGTTCCATCGCAATGTTTTAAGGAGAGGAGAATATGAGGAGAAAACGTCGAGAGAAGTGACGCACGAACGACTGGGTACTCCACCATGACAACGCACGACCGCATACGGCTTACATTGTGCAGGAATTTTTGGCTAAAAACAAGATGGCAGTTGTTCCCCTCCCACCGTACTCGCCAGACTTAGCTCCATGCAAACTTCTTTCTCTTCTCCAAGATGAAAATAAAGTTGAAGGGGCAAAGATTTGATACAGTTGAGGAAATTCAAGCGGAAATGCAGATGGTACTAAACACCCTAACAAAGAGAGACTTCCAGGATGAATTTGAAAAGTGGCAGAAACGCTGAGATTGGTGTATGCGCTTTTGAAGGTGATGGTGCAGAATAAGATCTAGGTAAGATGTAATAGTTTTTATTAATATATTTCGGGAACTTTTGGATTGCACCACGTATATTTGATTAATATTTGAAGAAAGAAGTAAACAATATGTGCTAGCAGTTCTGACTGCACAGCGACATTTTTCTTGACAAGTGGTGCAGAGCTTTTGCAGGAAGTTGCTGACGGTAAAATTAATGTCCTATCAGACTGTGCTCCGGATACTCAGTATAATGTACCTCCCTTACTTTCCATAACACGAAGACCAAGTGTCTTCTAATATGGAAATGCAGAAATATACAATTTGTACTGTGTTACACAACAAAGTGGACAGTAAAGAAGAAGTTCGCAGTGCAACCACAATATTTTCTTTTATAATGAAGCTGTCTATATATAATATATCTTGTAAATGAGCTCATCATCTTTACTATTTCATTTATATACTGGATTTTCAATGAATTAAAGCAATGTACAATACTTGGATATATAAATACTCACCTATTGGGTCTAACCCATTGTGTGGTTCGTGTATGATGGTTTACATAGTACAACCGTCCAGCAGGAGTCCTTCGTTCTTCCCAGCCCTCTGGCAGATCCTCAGGGCAACTAAGATCACCCAGTGGATCCACCACAGCATTATGACCTCCTCCAGCCATGCCTCCATGTCCATCCCGCGACAGCAGTGACACCACAATCTGACCCTTCACTGGTTCAGGGTCATCTGAACTTGCTTTGCACAGATCCAACCGCTGATCTATATACAGAAGCACAAAAATAAGTAACTGCAAGGAACCATGTCATGTATCCTTATATCACCTTCTGATTGTAATGTTGGTATGAACGAATCAAAACTGATATATAATAAACTATCACCACACAGAGGATCTAAAACAGGATCAATTACCCAACCACATGCATTAATTCATAAACCGATTGCTGCAAGTTCATTTTTCATTCAAGATTAATTCCAGATAGCAATTAATCCCTCTGCCCACCATTAACTACTGTTTAGAAGATCCCAGATCGTATTTAATTTTGACCTGAACACAAAGAATAGTGGGTGAGACTCTTTATCAAATGTAGGGCAGTCAAAATAAGTGGTAAAAGTAAAGGTAAAGCTATTCCTGGGCTTAATCAACTATGCATTGTGCCATGAAGTCATATGGAGAATGGAGGTATAGCTCTACCATTCTTAACCTCAGCACTAGACAGAGCTTCATGCCCGATACACTACGCATGTAAAACAACTCCCACTACCAAATATATACTGAAGGCTGAATAGACCCCAGAGCTGGTCTGGAAGTTACAGAGAAGTGTAAGCTCTCCTGCCCCTTTCTGGGAATCAAATCCTGCTTCTTTGATCATCCAGCCTGTAGCCTAGTCACTATACGAAGTGAGCTGGTTAGAAAGTCATCAAGAAACCAAGAATAAAGTCTAAACAGGTAAACATTTGTCTGATGCATTTGCTTTTCACAAAAGTATGAATTAAGGATATGGCTCTACTGTCATTGCTTTTCAACTCTGCTACAGAATATGCAGAATATATAGAACATATTTTCTGCCTTTCCATAAACATAGTACATACAACAAAGTACCATGATTGCCAAAAAATTATCAAGAGGTTTTGACAGATTTACACATTTCAAGAACCAATTCCCAAATATGAAAAAAAAAAAAATGGTTTCTGGAATGGTGTTTGTCCGTGTGCATGGAAGTGCACCTCAATAACGCCTCAGTGGCTGAAAAGCATATCATTCCTATTTGGTATATAAGAAATAGTGGGTCTGGAACGGGGTCCACTCAGTCTCGTCATGATAATTGAGGAACTATTTCAAGGAAACAGCGACTCCGGTCTAGAAACTGAAATTAATGGCCATGGGGATTCATTGTGCTGACCACGCAACACCCTCTATCCGCAAAAGTTGGCACCAACTTTGCCAATAAGCGGCAGTCGCTTGGTCGGTATGGTTTGCTTGCGGACTAAAATCATGGCGTTTTTTTTTTGGGGGGGGGGAGGGTAAAAAGGAGTTTATCCATTATAGGTCAGTGCCTGGTGAATATGAGCATTATAGTTCCAAAAACAGGGTTCATTCAGATGGGCTCCAAATATAAAATGGCAATTTCTCAAAAATAGCCATAAAAGTTTTATTAGATTTCAGTAATTTATGGAGATCAACTCCACAAGTAAATTTACATAGATGGTATCTTCAGAAACAGAATGGTACACATATTACAGGCCCAAAAACAAAATGTTTCACTGAAACTGGCTTTACCAGTCAGACAGATTTCACTGTTGTCTGATATTCAGCAACAATGGTCTATTGGGCAATGGTTGAGTTCATTTCCAATGTAACAAAGTTGAGGTCAATTGTGTACAAGAATGAATAAACAATGTCTTTGCAATGATCTCTTATACATACATGAATTTCAGGAGAAACCAAGACGAATTACAAATACACGTGACATACCAGCATCTAGCGTAAGCCGATGTTAATTTACTGGGATATAATATAAATACCATAATGAGAAACACATCAGTTCTAACAGATATCAGAAAGGAGGTTTCTAGGCAGAAAAAACTAAGCAACTGTTCACGTCTTGTCACCATAATGCAGGTCAGGATCATAATATAATGATGATTAATAAATTCTTGAAAATGTGGCAAAGTTCAAACACCTGAAAGCAGTAGCAAATAAAAATTATATTCACAAAGAAATTAAGAGCAGATTAAAAATCAGGAAGTTCCTATTACCACTTTGTTCAGAACTGTCTTCTTGTCTGCTAACTAAAAACATAAATGATGAACCCTTCAGCGCAGGCATCTAAATACTGCAACTGTGGCAGTATTTTTAAATTCCCGTTTCACTTCTGCTCTAAAAGAATTCATTTTTCACAACTATTCATGAAATAAATGATTAACTTTCACTGAAATCCTCTTAAAAGTTGGCTTTACATCTTACCTTCAAACATGAGCTCACTGTATATGAGCGATGGAAGCAAATCGACTAGAACCTGTGGTTTGTGTGGCAGGCCTTGAAACATCCATACACATCACAAAGTGCCTCTCATGATGCAGCAAACAAGCCTATATTTACTGGAAACTCCTCCCAACCATACGTTTCGTTTCATCTTCTTGTTCATCACTACTATTATCAATCTCACTGTCACTAATCACATGGGTTCCTGCACAATGCTTGTCACTGTCACCATGGGAACAACATTTTCCAATATTTTCATCATCTAAAATTCCATTCAAACTTGTACAGGGTGAGGCGCAGAAACTTCCTTCTTTTGAAGGTGAATAAAAGAAAAAATTATTGCTGATAGACAAAATTTATGTTTAGCTAATGAAAGAACATACATTAAAGTTTTAAATCACGTAGTTTCAAACAAAATATCTTAAAGGTGGTGGGTGGTGGCCACGGTTCTCTATGGACTGATGCAACCGTTTTCTGAAGTTCCCTTCTGCACGTTCCAACATGTGCACCGGAATTTGGGCTACTTCCTGCCGAATAACATTCTTCAGCTGAAGCAGGTTGGTGGAGCGATGTTTAAAAATATCTGCCTTGAGGTCTCCCCATACAAAAAAAAAATCACAGGGTGTTAGATCAGGTGAGTGCACTGCCCATGGGATGTCACCTCAAAGCGAGATGAGCCATCCAGGGAACTTTGCCCTCAAAACTGTCATCGAAGCTCGGGCTGTGTGGGCCGTGATACCATCCTGTTGGAACCAGACATTTCCTAGATGCATTTCTTCAAGAGCTGGTTTGAAAAAGTTTTTAATCATGTCCACATACCACTGTGAATTGAAAGTAACTGCATGATTGTCTTCTTCAAAAAAATAAGGGCCAATAACTTCAACTCTCAACAACCCACACCATACTGTGACATTGTCACTGTGAAGTGGCCTCTCATGGAGCTCTCTGGGATTGTTACCACTCCAATAGTGCATGTTCTGCTTGGTGACATATCCGGATAGGTGAAAATGTGCCTCATCACTAAAGAAAACAAGTGTGTTGGGGGGTAAAGTTTCCAATAACGTTTCGCACGCAGTTGTTCAGTTCTGGAAATCACGTGGTGACAATTCTTGCACAACAACCATCTTGTAGGGATGGAAATGAAGATGTTCATGAAGAATTCGGCGCATTCAGCAACTGGATATGTCTAGGGCGACTGCATGTTTGCGAGCGGAGCATCTTGAAGATCTCAAAATCGACTGTCAAACTGTCTCCACATTTTCTGGCATCGTAATGGTCCATTGTCATCCTGATGATTTTTTCACCTCACTCCCGGTTGTCCTAAAGTTCTCTACCCACAAAACAATCGATTTCAGGTCGGGAACCGGACCTCTGGGCTTAATTCCTAAGTGAGTATGGAACGCACGCTGCACCACCACGTAGGAATGGTTGTTCGAAAAATAGGTTTCGACAGCAAACGCACGCTACTCACTCGTCCACCTCATGTTTCCTACTGAGGGGTATTAGACAGAAACTTCCGCAACTGCTGCGTTCGCCAAGCCTATCCCCACTTTTCTGCAACCTCCCCTCCCTTCACAATGTGTCTTCACAAAAAGGAAGTTTCTGTGCCCCACCCTGTATTTGTTCAAGCTCCATGAGGGCACAACTTGTTGATGGGCCAGCCATGGTAACTAGGAGGTCACATATTTATTTCCAAACTGACCTGCTCAGCTGCTGGGAAATACAAACAGCCTTAAAATGACTACAATACACTGGAAATGAAACTGACTGCTGCTTGGTAGGCCACTGCTGGTTACTCAATACCAAACAACAGCGAAATCTGTCAGACCAGTAAACCCACGTTTTACAAAATAAGCATTTTGCATTTGGGCCCCTAGTATGCATATTGTTATTTTACCGAAGATGCTCCCTCTTTTCATTTGGGATATGGTCTGCATAAATTACTGAAACTCAATCAAAATTGTTATACTTACTTAATCTGTTCCTCTTATACCTTACAGCGTTGAGTTTTTCTTTTTGATCATTTTACAGGCAGGACTCCTTGGATGGGTGATCAGCTCATCGCAAGGCTACCTGAACACAGGACTTCCATGCCCTGTGTGGAAATTGAACCTACAATCCCGGCTTCCAAGTGAGCAAAGACAGTATATGCCTTAGAACACTTGGCTACCATGACTGGCAAAATTGTTATAGTCATTAGAAGAAAAAAGCAATAATCCACCAAACATAAAGGCACTAGAGATGTGCATGTCCATACATACAGACATACAGCACTGCAAAAGCCACTTCTTCATAATCAGGGAAGTCCAAAATGTATAAATTCACCAAAATCTCAAGATAATTGCTCTCACTATCACAACACATCACATGTACTACATAATATGAAAAAGTGCATAATTAAATATTGGTCAGAAAACTAAAATAAAACTTATGTGCAAATGAAAGGCTAATTTTTAAATAAATCTTAAAAAAAAAATAGAGCAGAGAAGTGTGATCTGGATTCACTCGGTAATGAACTTTCAGGTTCCATAACAGGCAGAGAACTTAATGACTATCGGACAACTACTAACTTCTTATGTAAGATCCCACTCCATGCAGTTAGACTGGCAGGCATTAAAAAATTAAATAGCAGCTGTTATATGTCAGAAATGATGCATCAGAAAGACGCAATTAATCATGTTATAGAGTTTTAAACATTCTTATAATCATTCCCCAATCAACATTTTCAAACAAAATGTTATCAAACATACCGATAGCATTCTTAGCATAAAATTAAATTGATTTCTAACATATCTTTTAAAATGTCATTAAAGCTTCAGTATCACTTTCATATTTCCAAGTCAGACTATATGCAACTCTCTCCGATTATAACAATGCTACAAATGTATCCTAGCAGATTCAATGTCTCTTGGTATGTGGGACAAAGTATACAAATTACTTACAGCCTGTGTCCTTAAGGCGCTGAATTGTATTGGACATGATACGGACACAGCCCAAAAATCCTCCACCCTGCTTCTTGTGTATTTTCTTGTGGTTCCACACACTGATTGTAATACCATCACCTTTACCAATGTAACTGCAATAAAGTAATATAAATGGTAAAATAACCTGTAAATACTTAAAGAGGGCTAACAAAACTATTGTTAAAAATTTATCAAAAGCATACATACAGGTCATAATGTTGGTTCCATTTAGGATCAAGAGTTGCTTTGCATGTGTCAGTGCTGTGGCATTGGCCCGATCCATCCACACTGATCTTGGCAAATGGATCGGGCAGTCCTATAAATCATACCATGTATGAATACTAAGTAAAATTATCTGTTACTAACAAACTGTTTTATATGAAAACAATCGCTATAGAAATTACGTATAATCAAAGTAATACTTACTGAATAAGTCTTTCCTGGCCAAATTTCTGGCACAAAGAACTGGAAAAAGAAAATTGATGATTACTAGGTTCTTGAAATATGCATTATGTGACATGCATTACATATTACATGCCACATTAAACCAAGTTACCAGAAGTAAAATAAATTCATTTGCAGTTCCTGAACCGTGAATTAAAGGGTACTTGTCTATGTTTAATGTAAGTAGCCATATTGAATTTCGCCCATGCATAACAAAAACAGACGTGTTCTCAGACATCCGGAGTTTAAAAACACGCGAAAAATAACACTAATTTTAGTTTAATCGATATATTTACAGTGCTTACTTGTTAGGCGTATTTTCATAGCCCCATTTCTCCTGCTGCCGCCTGGGTTAGACATATTTTTCCATTCATTTAGTGTCTACACATTTACAACTAATTAGTTAGCAACTAGCCTAAATGGGCCAATAACGTATACAAATATATACTTCAAAGACAGGGCACTCCGACAATTGTTTGCAGCAACACCTCACACAAACGCTGTTCTCGATAATTCCACGTGAGATACATCATCCACATTTTAATTACACTTCATAAAGACATTAATATCGGCATGCATTCATTTTAATATCACAACTGCGTAACTTCTTGTGAACTAAAGTCAACTTCTTCTTAAACTCTTTGCATTCGTTTCTCATCGGAGAAAGCTATAACGTAGGGACCAGAGGAACTAGAGCGACTACAGAGTATTTAGTTATGCATCTGCAAGTAGCTCGTCTGTGCCACAGACTGCAGAGTACAAAAACCGTACAATTGACGGCGCTGAAAGCTGCATGAGATATGAAAAAGGACGTCTGAGAAAGTGTACGATTTAAAATCACTTTCCCTTACTGCAGAGGGCGCCCGGTATATACTAATTTGCATATTTCTGTTACCCAGTTGTAAGAATGAGCAAAATCCATTGACATTTCCACATTCCCTCAGGCACAAATATCGCCAACAATTTTCAAACGCTGCCTTGACTGCATTGAGAATAATACCTTTATTCAACTGATTCTCCGTCTTACGTGCAATGTGTCCTTCTAAACTTATTTGAAAGTTTTCTTTACATCATACAATGCGCATTTTCAAACCTTATTTAAAAGTTTCTGCACACTGCACTGCATGCTTATATCCGACATTGGTCATCATCAGACTTTTAAAAACTAGTGGTGAAAATTCATGTGCTTCCGTTTTGTGGTTCTAATATACGACGTGTAGTCCCACTTACGCGCTCGTGTACTCCAAGGTGCTGGGTGGCTTTTCCTTTTGTGTTGTGAGTCTAGACCGTCTAGACTACGCATAACACAAAATCTAATACCACCACACTAATAACGAGCGGCAATGACAAGGACAGGACCAAGAATCATACCACAGAATGCAAAGTAGGTACACAAAAATCACAGTAACGAAATATATAATTGCCGTTCTCTTGTATATCCTAATTTACAGATGAAACTGCTCATGCAAGATAACATATGTATATTGAAAGCAACTCAGTATTTACCTATATTTACAGAACATTTACAGCGCAGTAAATAAGAACACATATTGTATTTACATGACAAGAATAACAACTAAGGAGCCGTTGCATAAACAGTTTAGTAGCAAATAATGATACAGATTATTATCTATAAAACGCCTGATGATGGCCGAAAGACCGAAATATGGTATGTGATATTTCGATGAAACATCAGTACCGGAAAAATGTGATTGAGAAGTCATCTACATCATCAGTTAGGTTAGTTAGTTATAGGTTAGCCAGTGCTGCTGCTTTAAACGCTCAAAAATATACTGGACATTGCACTGCAAAATTAAGTGGAGCCTGAATTCAAGAGTTCAAAGAAGGTTCCTCTTTTTCTTTTTCTTTTATTTCTCTTTTCAACGTAGGGTGATGAAAGTCAAGAACAATCACTGCAGAACCATTCTTCCAGAGGCACAGTGTCCAAACGTGGATATATACAGTCCAGATGGTAGCTTCGCCCACATCTGTCGCAATTAATTAGTGCAGAAATACGGTTGTCATCACCACACACCCCACAACGCACGAAATAATCTATAACATCATGTTCCTGTTGCTGCCTTGGTGGCTCCATATGTATTTTTCTGACAACTCTGCCCCCCAGACAGTGACGCACAAGAATTGTATCACACACCTGTCGATCTATTGGGCAAGTGTTAGTATTCTTCAACCACTCCTGGAGACAGTCTGCACAGAAACTGTGGTTACAAGCTTCTGGAGTCCCAATCTCCTGTGTGACAAATCCACATAAGCAAATGGGGCACATTTCTGACTGACCATCAACCCTGCCATTAGACATGCTAGCAGCATGAGGCACTGTTGTAGAGGATGATGTTCCGCCATCACAAATCGTGGTTTCATTATTACCACTTGTGGCAGCAACACCAGGCAACCAAGATGATGTTCCAGCGCCTTCGGATCTTCTGACTACCCTTTCTTGACTCTCCCAATAAGGATTCCTCCTGTTTTCAGTCAATCCACGGCCTGCGGTACAGTACCATGATGCGTGTTCAGTGATATCTTCTTCCTCAGTAGAATCATCCCCATCATCATCATTATCATCATCATTACCACCACCAACAACAACAGGCTCTGGTTCATTACTGCTGTGATCACTTAAATAGTCAATGAGTCTCTCAGGTAATTGATTCTCCCTTTCCTCCATTTGCCTGACTCTCCTCATGTATGCCCTTTCAAATTCTCCTTCAGCTGCATTATCTTCCCTTAAATTACCTATTAAGTGCAGTTCCTTTTCCAGCATCTCTGCCTTCAACATAGCAATTCTTAATTGGCTTCTCTTCTCCTCCAATGTATCTGCCAGATTGTTTAGTAATCTATCCATGAGTCGCTTGCTCATTCTATGTGTCGTAAATATGCGCTTCAGTACTGTAATACTGCGGCCTTTAAGAATGTTCATCTCTGCTTGAGCATTTTCCAGCTCCGCTTCTGCATTTTGCATCCTATCTGACTCATATACCGTTCCTAACGTTCTTCGTCGCGTTTCCCCTCTGCGAGACATTTTTCTTAGTTCCGTGTTCACACCCTTACTGACCGGTGATTGTGTGCGAACCAACTAAACTCTTCACTTCATTCGACTGCGCTCCACGAAGTCACTCCGTTCATCTGCAATGGCTGTAGTAAACTCGGTCGGTCGAATGGTATAGTCTCGGAGCTGACACACTGAAAACACCGCCTGCCACATCTCTTGTATTGTTGCATGTACGTGAGGTGTTCTTCCGTTGGGTGTGTACGGGCCGTTATCTAGCAACATAGCAAATTCGTAATAAATAAATAAATAAATATTACTGTACTAGCTGTACCCGGCCACGCGTTGCTGTGGCAGATCGAGTGAATTGCTTCCGCTCCGCGAGTACGACGACCTAAGTTTGATCTTTGGCGAGGCATTTTTTGGATGAACTAAAGCAGATCGATTGCACTGAAGAAGAAGAAGAAGAAGAAGAAGAAAGAAAGTTATAACAAAAACACATAAAATTGCAAAACGTTAAAAAAGGAAAGAACACGAACTGGAAAACAAAGAAACAAAAATAAAGAATAAAAATATACTAACGAAATATTTCAATTCAAACGCAGATCAATCGACACAGCTCAATCCCACCGCCAATTGCACTGAAAAATAAGGAGAACAGTTAAGAAAACGAAATGAAAAAGAATGAAAAATTAACTATACTCACGAAATGAACGACGTATAACACGTTACAGTATATTAATATTGAGTACAATTAATATTTTAACAACCAACCAACCTGTCACAGGTGTGACATATGTCACACATGATTTTAACATCATAAAGTCTTAAAATATATTTTTAGTGAGTGACATATTCTTGATGTCTTTTAAATTGTTGCATTATTTACGTGTACTTTGATAAAAAGAATATGTCGCGTGTTACCTATGTAACGTTGTTGTGGTCACGTGTCTCCTATTCAGTGCGACAAATAACTTCCACGTACGTCTCGGATTCAGCGAATAAGTTATTGAACGCTCACTTTTACACCAGGGAGTACAATTATTATCACGTCCAATATCACCAAAAAAACTCCTCGGAGCTGGACTGTTATAACCAGGTTTCGGACGCAATAGAGGGCATTTTCGCCCAGGGTTCGATTTCACGTGTTCTGTGCTCGTTGCCGCGGTTATTCCTAGGCAACGATCTGTTGGTATTCGATGGACGACAGAACACCTTGTAGAAGTATTTGGTTTCATCCGTTGTTACGCAACGGAACCTCTTATCCTTTCATCTCCGGGGAAACTCGTTTGATGTTCGGCAATTCCTATGCAACGGCCCACTGTTATTGCGTTTCCATGGAAGTATACTTTCCGGTTTCATCCGTTGTTACGCAACGGAACCTCTTATTCTATGCAACTGTTCTAGCGTTACTATGGAAACGACTGCTGGATTCGGAACATGTGACATGTTTTTACCTGTCACGGGTGTGACATCTGTATAATAGGTACATAAAAAACGCGCGTATTTGGATGCAACGTTGTGTCAAAATTTCAAAGCAATCGGTGAAGAACTTTCGGAGACTTTCAACCAGGGACAAACGAACATTTACATGTATATTTATATAGATTAATATTTATTACGTACATTTGCTCCGCGATGCATCACCATAGACCGTCAAAATTTTAATTCAATTTTTAACTTTTATTTTTTAACGTCTGAGTTACAAGTTTTAGGTTTGAAGTTGCAGGCCATTCGGGTGAGTTGTGTTTGTCTGCTTAATTGAGTACATCCGTGCGTTAGCATCCATACTATAGATCGACATCAGTTGGTTCATAAGTGAATTATGCAATCGCTGAAATACAAATTAAAATTGATCAATTTTTCCTGTCATAAAATGAGACGTGTAGACCGATGCAGACCGTCGCCTTATACCCCTTATACTTCAATTCCATGACAAAACTACTAGACCTACTAGATATACGTGTATATCAGTATAGATATGGCGGAAGGATAAAGTGTTGATAATTGCTAGGAAAGATGAAAACGAAAAGAGGTCGTCGAGAAGATCTCTGCGTGTGACAAATGCTTAGAACTGGACTACAGCGGAGAGAAATTTAATTAGAACTAAGTTCTCACAATTAATTTACTTCGGAAAGGCCAAAATGTGAGTACCTGTTCTGAGTGCGGGCAGTGACTAATAATTGGGAATTAGTAAATGCAAGGCATTCAAGTTGGCCTAAGAAACTTAAAGAACCTAGGAAAGATCTTATTTTTCCAGACAGCAAAACGTTTGTAACATTTATTAGGTTCTTAATGTTGGCTGACGTTAGTGAGTCAGTTACTAAAAACTTTTTCTTAAAGGAAACCATTTATTCAGTAAAAGAATACGTTGAATGGTCAGCATAATGCTGGATCATACATAGTGTAATTGTTTTTTATACAATATTACCTATTTACAGCTGTGTTATTCCTTTGTATATTATTTTTGTTTTAGTATGTTTTAGTGTATTAAATGTAATATTGTTGTGATTGATACAAATAGTGTCCTTGATTACATAGTGTTATTTATTGACAAGGTTGTATGTTATAACTGCTACTATTGTACTCATTTTTAATAATGGACTACTTCTATATCTGCGGTGGCTTATCACCTGTATGGATTACTTGAAATATCAATAAATTA